AATATAGATATCCTAGTCGTTCGTTTTCCTTCTATTAATTTCTCTAAATGTCCTATAGGGTTGATTTTTTTTTCTCTTTATGGAAGCCATACCAGTGCTAAAAACTTTCCAAAGACTAACTACTCCATGAGTGTCACTCAGTATATCATGTGTACTTAATATAGCTTTTGATGGATTTAGCCATTTGATTGTAATCATCATTTCTCTATTACAACAAATAGATGGCTTTAGAAGAATGTGCTGAAATATTGAAGTGTGCAATTTGAATGCTAAAATTGTGTTGGAATCAACTTTTTTCCAAAGATAAGGGAATTAAATTTACCTATCCTCTTGCAACAGCTTACTCAGAAGCTCCATATTTATATGATTATGTTGTTCATCTTGACATGGAGCAACTGACCGTTCAAAACCAGCTCTCCAGATGCTACAGTAGCTGTTGTTGTTTACAAGTTAACAAATGGAAAAATCTTCACTTGAACAATATCAAATACCCAATTATTTAAGGACTTGTTCAAATTGTATCAGAATAACACAATTGGATAGTTCAGACACTTTCTGTGGAACATTGCATAGATGAAGTCCAAATTAAACACTTTATTGCAGTTGATAAAAGATATGTACCATAAAATTTGCGAAATATATTGCTATCACAAACTTAACCTCTTGCAAGGAAAGATAAAAACCATCCAAAACAAAGAATGAGTCCAACACTGGCCATACTTTGTGCACAGGCCATTAAAACAGGGCCACGCAAAATTGCTCAAAGGCAGCTTTGTTTTTTCTTTGTTTTTTTATTTTTTTATTAAAAAAAGGAACATTTGTAATAATTTTTTTTTTGGTCAGACACTTTTACTGGGGAGAGGGATAACGAGGTTTGAATCTGCAATCTTAAAATTCAACAACAGGGGCAATGACCATTAGGCCAACCGCTAACCTCTTTGCTTTTTCTTAAGCTCTTATCATTTTTTAGAATTGTAGAATCTAGAGATAAATGATTTTATCGAACTTCCCTTGGATCCCATATTACATGTTGCATTGCCTCCTTTATTTTGGCCTCAAGTTGTCTCTAACATCCAAGGCTTTAGTGATTCTCCCTTTTCACCGTATCCCAACACATGTCCCATTGTTAATCAGTGAAGCAAATTAATAGCAAGATACAAGCTAGACCAAATATAATAATGACGGAATTAGAAGCTAGGCAACTAATAGAAGCACCCAAGAAAATGGAAACATGATTAATTGACATTTCCACGGAGGTGTTTGTAAGCCAGAACTCTTGTATTTAGTATAAACATTCAAAATATATTTATGCATTTTAGATGCATTTCAAGTGGTCCTTTCAAGATTTAGCATTACACAATGCATTGTTAACAGTAAGTCTTGAATTATTTGAAAATTGGAAATTAGGGATTGGTGAAATAATCATAATGATGAATGCTTAATGAATCATCTTGAAGGCTTATTTTTGTAATCTTAATTGCCTAGGTATTAAAAGTACTCACTCTATAGAAGCCTAACATAATGAAGCTAAGGCTGATCACCTTTCTCTAGTGCATAGAAGCATCATAATGGAGCATACATTGATACCATGGTTGTAATATTGGGGAAAATAAGCACAGGCCACAGGCCAGACTTTCCTGGTCATGAATTTTGAGCTCCATTTTTGGCCACCAGACCCAATTGGTAATTCTTTGGAGTCTGCCTTGAATCCGGCTCCAAATTGCTCCTATCACCCTCGTTTTTCAAAGTATCACATCTTATTTTTATTTGCAATTTCATCTTCATAACCTAGTTTGGATTCGTACCAATGGGTGCTACCACCTTGCTTTTCTTCAAATTGGTATTTATGAGCTTAATCCCAATTGTTCTTTTCTTAGACTCATTTAGAAGTCAAGAAACAACAGATACACTTTCAGATTTTTTAGGCATCCACAACCACCTGAAGGCAGGCTTCCTCGTTTCATGATGATGGGTCTATGCATAATTCACTGCAAAGGTTAATTTTTGTAGTAGTAATTAACTTATCTCTTTAATTATATAAATTTAAAAGAATGATGATGGATCTCTTAATTAGATAATTTTTATAGTAGTAATCAATCTTTTAAATAGTATTTCATAATACCTTTTTAGTGAAATTCATTGAAGATAACATATTTGCGACATCATAAAACCGCCTAAATTTAGCCTTAAGAGTTATTTTATGAGGAGAATGTTAACAAAAGAGTTCATGCATCTTTTTTCTACCAATATTGGGGGATCATGTGCAGTGCACATAAAAACAATTCCGAAGTTTGATTGTTGACTTATTTGACATGGAAAAATAATTCTATAAAATTCACATATTTTTAATAAAATGAGCCATAACAGATTCATTCTAAGGAGAATTGATAAATACAATGAATAAGTTAGTATACTTGAAAAATGAGTCATCGAAGATGACCTTTGGGCCCATAGTCAATTCAACGCATCAGCTAGCTCTATAACACCCACAAGCATCAAAACCCAGGCCTTCACTTCACATCTAATTTGGTAGCATAGTTTCTGATCCAACTCAACCTACTGTCAATCTACTTCAATCTGCCTATTAATCAAAATCCTATATTATAGATTGTAACAAATTAGAGGTCAAAGAGACAAACATATACTGAACAAACTACAAATTTAGCACATTCAAGTTTTATTTCTCTAGCTTGTTACACAAAACCCTTTAATGAGGGATAGGGGAAATTGGTACTTGCTTTCTTGAATTAAATAATGCTCCATTTCTGAAGTGATCCATGGCTTATGATATACCACATTACAATCTCAACAATTTATGGGTAAATTATAGCAGTATATGGCAACGGCTTGACGGTTAAATAAAAATGGAGTTCGACTCTATCCAAGTTACAATAATCAAACCAATGTAACATCAATTCATCATTGCTCAATGCACTAATGCATATAAAAAAATACAAGCAAATCTAATGTAAGAAAAAATGCTACATGGACAAGTTGATCAAATATAATTGGTAACCAGAACATACTGTCATCTAATCAGGAAATCGAAGAGTGAACCAAATAACTCATTACTATAAAACCAATTAGACACCTTTAAAATCAAATAAAGATAGCCCAAAATGGAATATACCCCACACCAGCCCTATCTTGCTGCACATATGTTGGGCATGTGTGGATGTCCAAAAAAGATAGACATAAATTTGATTCGTTATTTTTGAAACCAAACTCGTGCACAATAGTTTTTTAATGATCGAATCATATGTATGTGGCTGATTGAAATTTGAAACAATCAAACACCCAGGGTCAATTCTGCAAGTAATAAATGTTTTGAAAATGAATAAACTACATTTGCACATCCAAACGCGCTCATTCACTAATTAGATTGTCCAGAATGTCAGATATTACAAAACCTTAAATTTCATGATCTAGACAACTAAATAAATGTAAATCACTATATGTATGTATGTATATATATATATATACACATACATATATAAGAGATTGAGATATCTAGGGTTTGAGATCTTATTAATCAATTTACAATTCCATGGTGTCTTCCAAATCTAATGTGAGATGTGATACCGTTGATGCTTTCCCTGACCGTTCCTTGGCCAACTAATAGAAAAACATCAAATTCAAACATATAAATTGATTAAATACAATTCACCTTGAACCTTATACTGCTAGCATGAATGTTTCTCAATTTGTTTGCTAATCCGACAAAGAAAATGCAATGCACACAAGCAATAAGAAAGACAAATATGCAAATAACGAAAGGGGGAAGTTGGAAGACATGAATTTGGAAGCTAGAAGCGGGAAGCTGGAAGGCATGCAAATATGGAAGCTGGAAGGTATGAGTGACTCTCAGTGCTGACATTAATTGTAACAATTAAGATGAAATGAATTGGATGTATTCACTTTGGATGAGCGACTCTCGGTAAACCTTTACTCAAGAAAAAGAAACGTATAAGCAGTCTGTAAGAAAGTAATATATAAGTGGCATTAATTGTTTTTATAGGGTTATTTTTTCAAATAAAAGTTTTTCACTCATCCTCACTTTTTATAGTAGTAAAGATTAGTTAGAATACAAATTCATATTTTTAGTAAATTTCATTTAATTTGGGATTTTGTGGCCATTATGGGAAGTTGGGAACGATTAGGATTTTGGCTGTTCATATATATATATATTGCCATATGTATTACGAATTAGTGAGTCAATAATACAATATTTTGAAAGTTTCTCTTCCTTTCTCTATGGATTCAAAATGTTTGTTCTTACACTTAGAAACAATTATTTATTTGTGTCTTCCGTTTACCATTGTCAGATTCAATAATAATGAATAATCAGTTAGAGTTGTGTAACAAAAATGCTCAAATCTATCCCTATTTTTGTAGCCTTGACATCTTGGCTGCCTCCAAACACCCATTCTTCTCTTTTCTTGTATTCGATTTATGTTCAATTGTTTTAAGTTGGGGAAAGAATTGAACACTGGTGAAAATCTACCATGTAGAGAAGTGGCATTCTTTTTTTCTTTTCCTGGGACAGGGATAGGAATGTGTTCATCACATCCCCATATCTCTTGTTGAATTTCTGTGTAATTAAGTTTGAAGTAAGTTATTGTCTTGAAAAGCAATAAGTTCTCTAAACTTTTCCTTATGATCTTTAGGTTTAGTATTTTTTCATTTTGTTTTCTATTTTTATCATTAGTGTATCCCAAGGGGATCAGGTGTTTTATGAGTTGAGTAGTCTCTCTTTTCATATCAAATGGGCATATTTGCTAACGAGATAATTTCCTGGTGACACACCTCTATTTTCTGGTTAATCTGATATAAACATCATGTTATCATTTGCATTTTAACTCTCTCAGTTCTGCATCCTCCTTTCCCTTTCGCCAACCAAAAAAAAAAAAATCATAAAGAAAATGTTCTACCATCCGCAAAGTTTCTTGTCGATTATATTCTTTTAATGGTCTGATCATCTGACCCTGTTATATGTGTAGGTAAATCCAATAAAATATACTGGCATTTCATCAGGTTTGTGTACTCTCTGGAAAGAAGAAGGCCCTTATGCTCTTTGGAGAGGTTGGTCCAGCAAATTATTTGGATACGGTGTTCAAGGCGGATGCAAATTTGGTCTATATGAATACTTTAAGAAGATTTACGCTGATTTGTTGGTAGATCAAAACAGGAGTATTATATTTTCCCTCAGCAGTGCTTCTGCTCAAGTATTTGCTGATGTGGCTCTGTGTCCATTTGAAGCTGTCAAAGTTCGTGTTCAAACTCAGCCTAATTTTGCGAAGGGCTTGCTCGATGGGCTTCCAAAATTATATGCTACTGAAGGGCTTCATGGGTAAGTCACCCAGAAACGTAATTATATCCCAAGTGTTTACTTCTTTTTTTATGTAAAACTTCAATTGTGGTGAAGTTGTGACCCATTTATGTTGCATTGCAGCTTTTACAAGGGACTCTGTCCACTTTGGGGTCGTAATCTTCCATGTAACATCTCTTCTTCACTGCATTCTACAAAATTTGCATATAATTGTGTTGATTATGACCTGGTTCATGTACTCTCTCTGATGGGTGGTTGCATTGGAAAGCATTGGTTGTGAACAGTATGGTTCAAGAGCTAGAATTTTGTGAGGAGAAACATACTGAAGATTTATATTACTTAACGGGTGTCTGATCTTCTAATGCCCAGCCTGTCACTGCCCAGCTTACTAGTTGGCAAGCATGATGTTGTCTGGCAAAATATGACTTGTGATACAATGTGTATCAATGTATAGCCATTTAGCTATTATTCTTTGGAAATGCTCTCTTCTGTAAATTTTTTCATTTTTTTTTCTTTGTTGCTGTGCATACTCTGTGTCCTCTCCTGCCTTCCGACTTTAATAGTATCTTCTGAGATGTCATTGAACTTGTTTACTTTGGCATAAATTTATCATGAAAAAGCTAAATAAAACCATTCCATTGCTTTAGATGGGAGTATCGGACATTGCTAAAAGTTGAAGCTTAATTTGTCACACAAATCCTGGTGTTGTATTGCCCTTGTTAATACCCTTGTAGCTGGCCCTTAACATTTTGAGCCTTTGTTTGTGCGTGCGATATGGTACTTGTGATATTCTGCTATCCTTAACCTTCGAGGATTGGCAATCTTACCAGTGCCTAGAATTGCAAGTTTTAAGTGCTTGTGTAGTTAACAGGTTTGACCACCAGTGGCATACCTCTCTCAAACAATCAGATATGAGCTTGACTAGCACTCTTGGCTTCACATAGTCAGGGCTAATCTTAATTTTTTGGCAGTCTCTATGGTGATGTTTTCAACATTTGAGCATTCAGTGGACCTGATATATCGCAATATCATTCAAAAAAGAAAGGAAGATTGCTCAAGAGCGCAGCAACTTGGCGTGACATGTTTAGGAGGGTATGCAGCTGGAGCTGTTGGTACCATAATCTCTAACCCTGCGGATAATATTGTTTCCTTCCTATACAACAAGAAGGCTGAGACTGTGCTGCAGGTAGTGCCTCTGAAACAAACTCTTCTTTGGTCCTTACCAAATAAATTAAATCGAGGGTCTTGTTTTAATTTTTGGCTAAATAAATCAAGAGTCTTGTTGATTGCGCATTATTTGGTGTTTGCAGGCTGTGAAAAATATTGGGCTTGTCAATTTGTTTACTAGGAGTCTTCCTGTTCGAATTACACTTGTGGGACCTGTGGTGACTCTGCAATGGTTTTTCTATGACACCATTAAAGTGCTAAATGGATTGTAAGTGCATTTCTCTATCAACTTCTTAACAGTGGTGGATTATATGTGCTTGTCACAACCAGAATTACAGAGCCAAATGCTTTAAACATTGCAAAGACACCTGAGCATAAGTAGCTTGAGTTGACAGACAGCGCAAAATAAATGTGCTTTATAAGCAGTCTGAATGTACATATTACATGGGAAAAACAGAAGTTGCCCCTCATGTTTGCCTTACACTTTGCCTCTATCCATTTTTTTAAAAATGTTTTTGGACTTTCCTGGAAGCATATAGATGCTAATCACTGAAGTAGAAAATACATAATCAAACACATTATAATCCAGTGTTGTTTCAGAATAACCTGTGTCATTGGATGGGCTAACATTTTGAAATATCATTTAAAGCCATCCTTCATATATATTTTTTTTCAAAAAAAGAAAAAAGCTCAACCAGTAACTGAACTGACCATAGAGATATTGTGATGGAATTTCTTTCATAATCATGTGAGAGATTTTGATGAGGGATGGTGGGTTTCCTTCAAACTTCACCAATAAAGGAGCAGAATGAACAAAAACTGCAGTTTCCCCAAATGTTCTAGGAAGTTCCATAGATCAGATCTTTTACTGGACGTTCAGATACCCCCTAACTGCATCATTTTTGCAACAAGTTTTGCTTTCCTTTCTTCTCACTATTATTCATGTTTGAAAACAATTTAGGCCTACTAGTGGAGGGCTTAGCAAGCACCTGGAAGTGACTAACTGATCGGCGTTTTTGGAACAAGAAATGGCATTTCAGTGGGGTCAATCCTTGACAAGCATGAGCAAACCCATCATCTTTGCAGGAACTTAAAAACAATTCCTTCCACCATTATGAAACCGAAACATCTATTGAAGGCTGCACTAACATTTTTTTGTTCCAATTCAGCACTGCTGTTCATAGGTAGTAGCAACATGTAGAATCTTCATTTAGTTCACGTTCATCTTTGAGGGTTGTGATTGAAAGTTGCATGAATCTGTGGTCCAGTCTTATAAATTGTTTGTAGATGTACACATTTGCTGGCAGCAACAGTAGGTAGAACATTTCCTTTGAAAAATCACATTTTGTATTAGATATCACTATCATTGTAATTGTATATTGAAGCAGCTTCAAAAGTACTTTGAAATATTTGTCTTCTGATTTTCTTTTTTAAAATCATTTAGTCTGATAACATGTAATTTAACGCTTTATTTTTAGCTAAATGACTATCAGAATTAGGTTTGAATGACATGAGATGATCTGTTCGACTTGTAAAGAAACTGTCCAACCATCAGTTTTGTCGTCCAATTATACTTTGTTTGTGTGAATAAACAAATTAAGCCTTAAGTCAGATTGTCATTCATGCATCTGTATTAAAATTCAAAACTTATCTTCAACATGAACGCTCCTCCTACTCGAGTCTTGATACATTTTGCTTGAGGAACTATAACTCGTACTGAAATGGGTGATGATTCTCAGTAACTGGGGGCGGTATTTTTGATGACGAATTTGATTTTATGGCTGGCTGGTCAAATAGCTCCATTCTTAATTGTGGGATTGCTTGCTTTAATGCACTACATAGACATACTCAACGATTTTAAATGTCGAAATATACAATAAAGCATTAGTGAGTGAGGAATAATGAGTAAGTTGAAAATGAATGATTTGTGTTGAAGAGGCTGCCTGCTTGTGGACAACTATATTGTGCCTGCTGACTTGGGTGTTATCGTGGGTGTAAGTTTTGTTCATTTTTAGCTGTTGTCGTATTTGATTTTGGAATTTTTTACCAACAAAATGATCCCTCCCGACCCCTTCCCTATACAACGAAAGAAAATAAATATACACAACCACGACCAAGTGAAGGGTGCGGACAGGAAATGGAAGTGGTCAGATGTTGAGAGATTGGTAAATTTGAGGTGAGAGACTTACTCAATGGCAACTATTGACTCCCGTATACATGTATGTAAGGACATCAGTGCGTAGATTTTTTATTTGAATTTTAGCTGAATTCAAATCCATTAGATAGATGTAAGGGGATATTTTTAATCAATAATTTCAAATTAAATTTGAATATGTTATATTTTATTTCATAGTTTCAGATTTAAATAAAATAACAGGTTCGATTGTAATATAAGTTGAATAATGTATATATATATATATATATATATAAGAAATACAGTGATTTTCTGTGATGATACTGATTTAATTATAATATAATTTTTTAATATTTCATTGATTAAGTTTTTCAAACTTACCAAAAAAAAAAAAAAAAAAAGAGGGGGTAAAAATCATAATTGGTCTCCGAACTTTATTTTTAGTATCAATTAAGTTTCTAAACTTTTAATTATTTCAACTTAGTCCATCAATTATCAATTACTAGCTAATGTAATGATAAACATTAATGGAATGACTTAATTAAATAAAATTTATAATCGAGAAATTAAATTAAAACAATTGAAAATTCAAAAACTAAATTAAAATCATAGGTAAAATTCAGGAATAAACTATGATTGAATGAGTTTGTAAATTTCAGTTGGATTTATATCAATTGAATCCGAATTATAATTCAAATTGAATTATACTCACATTATTAAGCTGTTAAGCGAAAAAAAAAAAAAAAAAAGATGGTGGGTACGTATTACATAAGACGACAGGAACATGACGTTACACAGGACTTGGAAATCCAGATACGAAGAAATTGTCAAACCGAACGAGGATATGGACATCTGCAAATCCCACTCTAACTTGCAAATCCAGTTAAAAGTAATTAAATAAATACATCAGAGTATTACTTTTACTTTGGAACAAATTGGTACGCCCACATGTTCACTGTCGTTAATTACTGTCCGTGCACCATAATGATAATAATACTACTACTGATAGGATATGACTATTCACGCTCACGCATCCCCTGGCTCTGGCCAAGTATTTTTCTTCCCTTCCCCCAACACTGAAACGATCGCGAAGCCTACGTATGTCTCATCTCTTGTGTTCGTATGTATGTGTATTGTTTGTCATTCGATTCATCCTCTCTATCCCTCTGTCTGTTCTCTTTCGTAAGTCTCTCTCTTTCTCTCTCTCTCGCCCTCGCCCTCGCCCTCACCCTCAACCCCCACCTCCACTCCCCCATGGACTCGCATAGAAATCAAAAATCGGATCTCTGAATTCTCACTCGTACTCATTGGCACACCAGCTGATTTGATTCTACCAATTCACCATTCAATCAAACTGCATACAACTAAGAAGTTGAGCAGATGTCAGCCCTAGGTGGGCCGTCTAGGTGTGGCTGGGTCCTGGGGCCATCTCTGGACAAGATCATCAAGAACGTTGCTTGGAGAAAGCATTCGCAGCTCGTTGCCTCCTGCAAATCAGTTCTCGACAAGCTCCAATCCCTCGCAGACTCCGAATCTGATCCCGGTTCCTGCACCCCAATCTACGGCTATTCTCCTTCCGATGCTGAATTGGTGCTCCAACCCCTCATTATGACCCTCCAATCGGGCTCCCCCAAGGTCGTCGAGCCAGCTCTTGATTGCGCTTTCAGATTATTCTCCTTCGGCTTCATTCGCTGCGAGATCGATCGTTCCGATGATGGAACTGATAGCCACGGATCCTCCCTCATCTTCCGTCTCATCGATTCTGTATGTAAGTGTGGTGGAATGGGTGAGGAGGGGATTGAGCTGGGCGTGCTCAAGACCTTGCTTGCTGCTGTTAGATCTCCATCTGTGTTGATCCGCGGTGATTGTCTTGTTTACATTGTTAGGACCTGTTACAATGTGTACCTTGGAGGGCAGAATGGGACCAACCAGATCTGCGCTAAGTCAGTTCTCGCCCAGATGATGATCATTGTTTTCACCAGGGTCGAACAGGACTCGATGTTCGTCAATTTTCGTACTGCGTCTGTCGCTGAATTATTGGAATTTACTGATAGAAACTTGAATGAAGGGAGTTCTATACAATTTGTTCAGAATTTCATCAATGAGGTTGTAGAAGCCAACGAAGGGGTTTCTGATCCAGAGCAGCGGCCGGAATTGCAGAATGGGGATAATTCGGTTTCTAGAGCCAAAGAAGAAAAAATTGAATTGGGCAACGGGGATTTGAATGAGGGGGCCAATCTGGGTGATTATACTAAGATCAGGGAAGATGGTTTTATGCTTTTCAAGAATTTGTGCAAATTATCAATGAAATTCTCATCACAGGAGCATCCCGATGATCAAATTCTCTTGAGAGGGAAGATATTGTCTTTGGAGCTGCTAAAGGTCATCATGGAAAATGCTGGACCGGTATGGCGCACAAATGAGAGGCAAGTTATTCAATGTTTTTCAAGAGTTTTCAACTTGAACCTGTATTCTTCTCAGTACCATATTTTCTTGAGTTCCTGTTTCTGTCCCAATCTTAAATTTTTATCTGGGGATCTTTGTTTGAACTGTCATGGTCTGGTTAATCACTACTCACTAACTTTTATTTTATTTTATTAAGGTGAGGACCCTAAAAATTATGCCTAGATGAAAACAAGCTGTGATTCTGATTCAAAAAGAGAAGCTGAGTATTCAAGTAATAAAAGGTTTCGAGGATCAAAAGTTCAATTAGCTTCTGCCCAAAAAAGAAAATGTAATGAAAACCTTGTTGCCTCAGTTGTCTAAGGTAGGGTCATATTTCTGCACTTCCTGTGAAATCTGACAAGAAGGGGTTCTGGAATCACATCGTGGAGATATCATGGCATGCAAGCAAAACCCCCAAAATGGAACAATGTTCATCTTAAAAAGGCGGGGCCTAGTGTATGAGGCTTCCGCCATTGCGGGGTCTATGCAAGGTCAAATCAAAGGTTTATGGAGAGACTATTTATGTGATTAGCGGATTAGTATTTGGCAGTTATGCAATGTTGTGATGATTCATGGCTTTTAAGCATTTTTGTGGGAGGACTAGATGAAGTAATTGGACTTGTACATCAAGGATCTACTTTGAGTGCATATCTATTTGTGTTGATTATGAATGAATTGACTAGACATATTCACATGGTTTATGTTGTTTGCGGATGAAATTGTATTAGTTGACGAAAGTAAACAAGAAGAACTAATAATAAATTAGAAATATGACGCGAAATTCTTGAATCAAATAATTTAAGATAAATAAGACTAAGACTAAATATGAAATGTAATTTCAATAAAAAAAGGAATGCAAATTGGAAAGTAGTAAATATTGAAAATCAAGATATACCGAAAGGTGAACCCTTTGAAAATTCAGGGTTTATTGTTCATAGAAAGTGTGAGATTGGTGACAATTTTATTCATACATTTAAAGTCGAATGGGCTAAATGGAGGAATGCATCTGGTGTATTGAGTGATAAACACATATCCCTTAATCTAAAAGGAAAGTTCTATAGAACGATCATAAGACCTACTATGGGTATCGAGTGTTGGGCAATTAAGAAAAACACATTTGAAATTGAGTGTGACAGAATTGAGAATGTTAAGATGGTTATGTGGTAAAACTATGAACGATAAAATTAGGAACAATTATGTCAAATGAAAAAGTAGAGGTTGTACATATAGCATATAAATTAAGGGAGAAAGATTTAGGTATTTTGAGCATATTTATAGATGACTTATTACAACACTGGTGATAAAGAGTGATATGATAGCTATTAACGGTAATCATAGGAGTATAGAATGGTCAAAATTAGCTTAAAATGAAATTGTGAAGAAACAATATAGTAATTTATGATTTGACAAAAAGCATGATCTCTAATAGAGTACAATTACGAAATGTGATTGATGTAACCAATTGAAAAAATATTGGGATTGAAAGAGTGCTTGTATCCCACGTCGAATAATTAGGACCACCCAATATTTGTTTAAATACTTGAGTGGGCCTCGTCTCTAATCCATTTGATTTTCCCAGTATGCAAGCATGCTTGTTTATTTGCCTCATGTGTGAGCCTGGGTACTATGTGATGAAGGGTGTAAAGAAGGTTAACTTATATATTTGAGAGATTACTATGCTCATTATCAATTGGTTTGGGTTGGATGCTCTACCAAGATTTTGTTGAGTTGAGTTACTGCCATTATGGGTGCCACTTGCCTTTGGAAAAATTTAGAGCCGATCACATTCTAATTAGTGCCAATGATGCAATTTGGCTTCTGTTTCTAACTTTGTCAATTCCATGTTTATTATCTCCTCTCAAACATCCTGACCTTTAAAATTGCAGAAAGAAAAAAAAATGTGATACTATTGAAAGTATTGCTATATGCACCTTAGAAAATGATATTTAAGTGAACAAAATGATTGTGTTGGAAAGTCGAAGTGATTTCTTAGTTTATAGAAGCCTTGAACAAAGTCAGTAGCTCATTGAAGGTACATGGAGAAGGAAACGAAGGTTGAATGATACCAATTAACAGGCAACTTGATTTTTTTTCTGAAGTAACATATTGATAGGGGGAGGAGTGTTACTTGTAAGGAATTGGGTGGGTTGGTCCTTAACCCAAGAGATAACCAACATACCATAGGCTCTCCTCTTTGGGAACCCAAACTAAACCATTACATAGTGGAACCAAACCTTACTAACTTGTGCATAGTTTATTTCAAGTTGGTTTTGTTGTGACCCAAGATCACCCCAAGGCTTGGGGCCTAGATGGATGAGGTGAGGTGAGGCAAGGTGAATAAGGGAGGGTGTTTTGGTCTTACATAAATAAAGCGGTTTATAAGTGTGAGCATTGGACTTCATTTCTTTGATAGGGAACTTTGGACTTCACTATACAACGCGCTTTAAATTGTGTGGGCCCAACCCAAAGGTGACAATATTATACAATTCAAATCTAGAACATTATGAATGATATTTGAGTTAGCACCGATAAAAAAATGTGGGATGGTCTCACCCGAGGACATGAGGTCCTAAATGGGTGGATTGTTGTACTTGTAACCCAATGGTCTAAGAGTCCAATATCTAAGTGGTTTGGAGCCAAGATGGATGAGGTGAGTTTAGATGAGGTGAGAGTGCCAAGTCCATTTACCTTGTCAGACATTGTTTGGTGAAGTATCGGTGAGTTGTTTTGTAAGTGTGAAATTTGGATCATTTACAAGGAAAGGTTAAACGAGATCAGTGGGGTAGTTAATGGGAGTGGGATAATAAGGGATTGATGGGCTTTAAAGTTAGCACCAACAATACTGATAGGCTCCTTTTTAAAGCTAAAAATGGCCAAGCTGGATGGTAATGTGGATAAAAAGTTAGGTCTGTGTGGTGGGCTGCCCAAAGAAAAGGAATAGAAGGATGACAAAATTTCTTTGGGCATCTGGATTTTGATAAATTATGACTAGGCCTTTTGTCCTTTAGTAGGGCTTCTCTCTACAATATTTGTGATATATTACTGATATTTCTGTGGGCCTTGCAACTTATAACCCTATTTATGATAAAATAGACCTAGATAATTGGAAAACTAAAGTTACCCTAGACTATAATAGAGTAGTAATTAGATTTAATGCTTGAACACTAAGAACAGAAGTAAAAAACCTGATAAAATTGTTCTGCATCACAAGTCCACATATCTTAAGTAGTGTGAATGGGGTGCTTTATAAGTGTGAGTTTAGATCTTTATTGTATAATACGTTTTAAATTTGTTAAAGGTAAATGGTTAGGAACCTCATAACTCCTCAGCTGTTATTACACAAACTTTGTATGGAAAATCAACATGTTTTCTTTAGCAACAAAGAAATTTTATGTGTTTACATGACGAGGGAAGCAACTATAGTAACCTTTTTTCTTCTAAAATGCAAGCCCATTGTTAGATGTCACTAAAGCTAAATCTCTTTATAGAGCATATACGTAGGGTTCTCTGTGTTTTATATTAATTGTATGATTTGCACTATCTGCAAATTCTTGGCTTATTTAAGCTATATGTTGAGCTGATCAAGCAATTCTTTGGTATCTTCCTCATCAGCACTTTGTTTTCCTTTTCCTGTTTTGGTGAATGTTGTGCATTCCTCCCCTCCCCCTCCCCCCCCCCCTCTCCCCCCAAAAAAAATAAAAAATAAAAAATAAAGTAAAAATAAAAACCCAACATAAAAATTTGTAAGTCTGATATTTCTTTTCTCGGCACAGGTTTCTTAATGCAATCAAGCAGTTTCTCTGCTTATCAGTGTTAAAGAACAGTGCACTATCAGTTATGACTATTTTTCAACTTCTCTGTTCGATTTTGAAAAACTTATTATCAAAATTGAGATCAGGATTGAAAGCAGAGATTGGAATATTCTTTCCCATGCTAATCCTCCGTGTGCTTGAGAATGTGCTTCTCCCTAGTTTCTTACAGAAGATGACTGTCCTCAATTTACTGGAGAAGATCTCTCAGGATCCACAAATTATTATCGATATATTTGTCAACTATGACTGTGATGTGGATGCTCCAAATATCTTCGAGAGGTACTGACTACTGAGCATGTTTAATTCTTCTTCTTTCCTAACTTTTATCTTTAGATGATGCCATGTGTATCAGCATATCCTAATATATCACTAGCTAAGCTATAATCTAGTGTGCCACTGGTTCAAATATGAGATTCTGAGGTGCCTTTTTTATTCTCAACATAGTGACTGCCTTTGTAAGGACAGGACGAGTTCCTGTTGCTTAGCCGTGTGATGCCCCCTTATAAGGAGCTGATCTAAGGAAGCCATCCCCATTTCCAATTCTGTTTGAGTGGTGCAGTGCCAATTATGTTATTTTTTTGAGTCACTGAACCTGACATTAATGTGGCTTACATTATTTTGCTTCATTGTTGGAAGAGTCAAGAAGAGGTTTTGTTCTTATAGTAAGTACCGTGGGGGTGCCATGGCCTAAATTTCTTGAGCTGATAACCTTGAGGTAGTGGATTTGAGTTGGAGGGGTTGCCACTATGTACAAATGATACCAAAAATTAGGGTTTTCAAATTTCAACGCCCTTGGTCTGTACGTACCAAACTGGACAACTTCCTTTTAGCATAATATGAGTGTTTCTATTTCTAACCTTAATGAGGGATTTTGTTAGTATTTTAATCTCGTCTAGAAACGATAGATATACTAAGAAAGTATTTTGTACATGGTTAAACCTCACAACACCCATTTTCCCCTAACCACTCTTTATTATATTTTTCCAACAAAATACTTTGTTTTGCTCGATCATGTAACTCTTTCTTTACTTTTGCAATGCCCTAACTCCCGCTTGTATTTTCGTTTGGGGTTTTATGCGGGCACACATTTTGATTTTTTTATTTCCATCACCTAGAATTGTGATCATAATTATTTTGGTTCCTATTACCCAAATTTATCTTTTGGGGTGTGCAAAATTGGATAATGTTTTGCCTTTCTATAAGTTGAGATTAAGTAGATCCATATGTTACTTCATATCTTCCATTTCCTTTAATATCATCTTTATTCTTCAATTACATGTGAGTTTTTTTTTTCCGATATAAGTGAGTTAATTATGACTTTGGTTCTACTAGTAAGTGCCACAAAATGACTTCAAACATTTCTGTGTAACAACTAATAATAATGTATGGATTAATAAGCCTATAATTTATTCCTTTGAGTTGGAATTCGATGACAACTTAATTAGAATTTTAAATTATATGAAATTGCTTGAGTGTCTTTTTGAATAGTTAGCAACTCAAAATATATGCTTCGTGCTCATCTCGCTTCCTTGATAAGTCAAGCCTTGGGCTTTTGGTGAAAGGTTTTTGTCTCTCTTCCGAGGAGTTTAAAGTTGTCTAATTAAGCTATGTGTAATTTTGCGATGTTGCCAATTGACCTTAAAGGGGTTGACGTTATCATATCTTCGTATTTTTGGCCAACCAGTCTATCTTAGGCAACTAGTTTGCAAATATAAGAGAAAGGATAGCTAGAATGCCATTGCCAAGCAGAGGCAAAATGAAAGGCAACAAGGTCTTCTTAGAAGCCTTGGCCAAGATCTTCTTGGTCATAGTCCTTGCAGTTTTGAAATAACAACCAAGCATTAGTTAGAAAAATGCACCAAATTGTCAAACCATTTTCAAAATAATATTGAACCTAAACAAAAACGAAAAGAAAGTACAGCACAAAAACCACCTACCTAACCAGTGTCAGAGGGTTTGCTTTCATATTGCTATGGTGCGATGAGAAATCCAATTTTCCTAGAAACTATTTTCTTCGAACTTTGAATTGGAAAATAAGGGTTGTGAAAGCTTTGGATCTTGAAGCGATGGTAGACAAAGAATTCATTGTTGATTGGTTGGTTTCCGACAAAAATCACAAATTTTGCATTCACCAATTCTGCCAAGGTCGCTCAACTCACCTATAACTTTTATCGCGACAAAATCGATACAAAAACAACTTAATTGAGAAGATGTTGCAAATTTTGGCCATACCTCATGGCTGATTCCTCGTCATCACACTCTTTGATAGTGCATCTCTTCTCTATCAAAATACACAGACCCTAGATTACAAAAGGAAATGCTAAATCACAGATACACGCAGACACACAACATACATATGCACACATAGAAACTGAAATGGAGAGGGAGAGGGAGAGGGAGAGTCGAAGAATCTTTAAGGAGTTTGATGGATTTTTATACATCATATTAAAAAACACAAAATATGAAACAGAGAGAAATACATGAATGCAACTAAGAACTGATCCGCTGATGTATATATAAGTTGCTGATTGGTTATTCGATATTTAGTGTTAAGAGTCTATAAGGTCTTAAAGTTTAATTTGTATACATATCTGTAGCATTATGTATACATATTTCTATATATGAGTCAAGTCTACAATAGATGTGTAACCACATACAATTGAAGGGCTTAAATTTGCAAAGATTAGGCAACACTAGGGGTGCAGGTCGGGTGGGTTGAGTGGTCAACCCTTGGCTCAACACAAGTGATAAAAGTCTCAACACCCGAATCTTGATTCTAATTCAGAACCTTTGGTTCGAGTACTACCCAATTTTAGATTTTTGAACCCAGGTTATGTATTTTGGGTTCAATCTTTGGATTATCTCAGATTCATAATAGGTTTGCAATTAGTTTATTTATTGGGTTTACATAAGCCTCAAAGACCCAAAAAGCCATAGCCATGTATGATACTACATTACTTATTTTAGCCATCTTTATATATAACAGGAGGGAGAGACCACTTCAGTCTTTTAACCGACCTGGCTGACAACCATTAGTCTTCTTGTAGGAAACATCTTCCGTTTGTCTTCACCACATAACCTACATTGTCTAGTAAGTGATTTCTTACTCCCTCCCACGTTGATAAAGCATATTGGATGAGTGTCTTTTATTCATTTTATCCTAACGTGTCTTATAGATGAAAATTCACTTCAACCGTACATGGGGCTCTTGGGAACGAAATGGAAAACAAATTACTACATTATTAAGGGCAAAACACTAGAACGATTTTATTTTGTCTTGGTTTGGGTTTAGGTTGGGTCCCAACGACGGGAGTTCTTAACACGAATATTGGCCCCCAGATATTTGGATATCTCTGCCCAAGTATTGGATACTTCGGATTGGGTTCCGGTTAGCCAGCCCAAGTCGCACCACTAGTCGACACATGCTTTTTGAAGACACAAAATATAACACGAGAGCCAACTTAGTCAGATTACCCCCGAATGGGGGCATGTGATGCTTTCCTTGTATAATTGGTGACCGTCTTGGACAGGGGACTTAATTAAAACTCGAGTGAAAATTTGGGGACTTGATTGTGTAAATTGATAGTGCAGGAATCAAATAGAAGTCTGGCATAAAATTTAAGGGTATACAATATTATTTATCCTAAGCTTTTGGAATTAAATTCTACCTTGTTTTGAAACAAGCGTTGCCAACTTGATTCCCGGGGGAATTAGAAATTTTTTTATTTCTTCTATGGAAAGTGTATGTGGGGGGTTACTTTGTGAAAAAAGAGCGTATGTGGGGGCAGGAGGATGAGGTGATGTGGGTTGCTTGAGGAGGACTTCAAAACAAAATGATATTACGAGTTGTTGGTTTGAGAGGTCTACTCCTTTTTCATTGTGAAGCTTCTCAGAAAACAAATGCATCTTTCAAATTGGCTTTCTTTGCCAAGACAGTGCCTTTTAGTTTAATCTGATTGCAGATAATTTAATGAAAAGAAGCGAGGTGATCCTGAATAGGTCTTGCTGGTGTCAAGGAGTTATGGTCTTTCTGTTATCGTTGTTTCAGCTGCTATGGGTCTTACGTTTTGCAGATGGAAAATATGTTGAGCTCTTTGAATGGAGTTGCAATTGGGAAGTGGAGGTGAGTAGTGTTGAACACAGATTGTTATGCCTGATGTGGTGTATTTGAAAGGTGAGGAGCCAGAGACATTGAGAAAATGAATTGCTGGCGTACAAGTTGATGCTGAATGTTTTGACCTTTTTTCTATAGTTTGTAAACAGGTAGAGTGAAATAAGCTGACCCAATGAATCCCCAATTTATTTGTTGGTTCTATAGGTAAATTCAATAATGATTTATCAATTTTTGGTTGGTGTATCTCTTGTTCACTTCTCGTGTACTTTGGTTAAACATATTGGTTTAGGCATTTTATAGTGGATCTATTTTTTGGTGCTGGGGAAAGAAGTGAGAGACTAATCATTAAGGTATTTTAGAATTAGATATCTTCATAAATGAGCGGATAGGAGAAGTCAGATTTATCTTGTCTACCCCAAAAGACGTCAGTCCTTGGGAAGAAAAACTAATTTGAACACTCCTTTCTTATTCTTTTGTATGGAATACTTCAAATTATTCTAACCATCAGGGACCTTTCAATTGCTTATATGATATGGTTGTTGGGGTTCTGTATTTTGCATGTACCGATGCTCAGATATATGCTTTGGTAATAACTTATTTGACTCTCTCTCGTTTGTTTTTTTTTTCTTTTCCCTTTTTGTACTTGTCATATCATTCTGCATTGTTGGTTTTGTGAATTCTATTAAAACCCTTTTAATGCCATCAGATATTTGCAGGACCGTCAATGGCCTTCTGAAAACTGCGCTAGGTCCACCCGCTGGTTCTACCACCACTTTGTCTCCTGCCCAGGATGTCACATTTCGGCATGAATCCGTAAAGTGCTTGGTAACAATCATCAAGTCGATGGGAGCTTGGATGGATCAACAGCTGAGAATTGGAGATTTTTGCCCACAAAAGACCTCTGATAATGAGAATTTAACAGATAATTGCCCTACCTTTGGTGGAGAAGATGGAAATTTTCCTGACTATGAGTTGCATTCAGAAGCAAACTCTGAATTCTCAGATGCTGCTACCTTGGAACAACGCCGAGCTTACAAGTTGGAGCTTCAGGTTAAGTAGTGATTTACTTGGAGAGGAATGATACAGTTGTTTGATTTATCATTTTATTATTAGTATTGCATTCCACCCATTGGCCGATGGTTACACTGTGGATCACAGGGAATTTTATGACTCTTGTGTGCCTTAAGTGCTGTCACATTGTGTTTTTTATTTAATTATTTATTCTGCTGCTTAGTATCGACTCCAAAATTGTCTGGTTTACTAGTATTAACAGCTTTACTGGTTAAATGCAGAAAGGGGTTTCGTTGTTTAATCGGAAACCTTCAAAAGGCATTGACTTTTTAGTAAGCACCAAGAAAATTGGTGGTACTCCGGAAGCTGTGGCATCTTTTCTTAAGAGCACCAGTGGCATGAATGAAGCTATGATTGGTGACTATTTGGGTGAAAGGGACGATTTCCCTTTGAAAGTTATGCATGCGTATGTCGATTCCTTTAACTTTGAAGGAATGGACTTTGGCGAGGCAATTAGATTTTTCCTGAAGGGCTTCAGATTACCTGGGGAGGCACAGAAGATTGATCGAATCATGGAAAAGTTTGCTGAGCGCTATTGTAAATGCAATCCTACTTCATTTACTAGTGCAAATACTGCTTATGTTCTTGCCTACTCTGTGATAATGCTCAACACGGATGCCCATAATAGCATCGTAAAAGATAAGGTGAGCTTGCTGTTATTGTCCCCGTTTGTCTTTTACAGTCAGGACTTGTGTTCCTTGCACATGGTTCTGCCATTATCTATTCATTTGTTTAAATTGTCCTGTCATGTTACCTCTTTAGCCCATTTGAGAAATAGGAGTAGCTTATAAGAGTAAGTATTGAGCTTCATGTGATTATAAGCTTCTTTTGTTATCACTGTTGTTTCTTTTCTTAGTTTGATTTCTTATGCAACCTCTTTTTATGTACTTTGTCTTTTTATTTATTAATACAAGAGTTATGATTCCTATCAAGATAAGAATAAGTGTTCAGCCAATATCATCTTTGGATTTTTTTGGTACCTTGCTGTGTCTGACATACAGATTGAATATTGTCAAAGAGAACTGTATTGTAAAGTATTTGGATCTGTTTACTGCCACTTTACCCTCTGATAATACTCAACTCATATATATTATTAATACATGCATATTTGATTTGGATTCTAATTTGACTTCCATTATGCATTGGGTTTGGCTATAAGATGTCCAAGGCTGATTTCATTCGTAATAACCGTGGGATTGATGATGGCAAGGACTTACCTGAAGATTATTTGGGCACCCTTTATGATCAAATTGTGAAAAATGAGATTAAGATGAATGCTGACTCCTCTGTACCACAAAGCAAGCAGGGGAACAGCCTCAATAAACTTTTGGGCTTGGACAGTATACTCAATCTAGTTTGGAAGCAGACAGAAGAAAGGCCGTTGGGTGCAAATGGACTTCTGATAAATCACATTCAAGAGCAGTTTAAGGCAAAAGCTGGAAAATCAGAGTAAGATATTGAATTTCCAAAAGTGAACTCTGGTAATAGTTTATTGCTGCTACTTCTAAGTTCTTTATAAGGATCTTATGCCCATGCACGCTTGCTGATTCATTTGGTTTCTCTATTTTATTCCTTTTTTTTTTCTGGGGGTGGGTGGCATATTTTGACAGTTCTAGTTGTTTAATATTATCATTCCACAGTTTTTTTTTCTTTATTTTTTTTTGGGAGGAGGGGGGGGGGGAATACTTCTGGGTGGTGCCAGTAGGGGATCTTTTGATTTCATTCACTACTTGAATTCCGTGTACAGATTCATCCTCCATGTTGTGATAAATTGGCTCAGATCATCCATTCTTGAGGATGCTGGCTGCCTTACATTCTTTTCTTTTGAACACCTCAGAGAAATAGATAACAGGATTCCAATCTCATCTGATGTTGCAGGTCTGTGTATTATGCTGTGGCAGATGCAGCAATATTGAGGTTTATGGTTGACGTCTGCTGGGGACCGATGCTTGCTGCTTTTAGTGTGACTCTAGACCAGAGTGATGATAAGGCTGCTACTTCTCAATGCTTACAGGGCTTCCGACATGCTGTGCATGTTACTGCAGTGATGGGCATGCAGACCCAGAGAGATGCTTTTGTTACCACTGTGGCCAAGTTTACTTACCTCCATTGCGCTGCAGATATGAAGCAAAAAAACGTTGATACCGTCAAGGTAGTACCTATTGCAACCACCGTACAAAATCAACAGCTAGAGGGAAATCTCATTTTTCAAATCTGTGGAGTTCTTGTGTCACAATGTTCGCCTATTTTCCCATTCTCTTCACATTTACTACACAAGATGGAGCTTATGTGATCATCCTAAAATATTTGTTTAAGATATAGTTATCCTGATTATTAGTCATTTACTTCTGTTTGGCAGAAACAAAGTTCTAATCCATATAACTTTTCCTAGGGCTCATTGGGGAATTGTGCGATTGTTCCTTATGCCTAACTCTAGTTGAATGTTCCCTTTCAAGATGTAGTATATGTTAACCTTTTGTTGAGGATGATTATTTACTTGTGCAATTTGACAGGCAATAATCTCAATCGCCATTGAAGATGGGAATAATCTCCATGAAGCATGGGAGCATATCTTAACATGTCTATCTCGATTTGAACACTTGCAATTGTTGGGAGAAGGCGCACCATCTGATGCATCCTTTTTTCATGCTTCAAATGTTGATTCTGATGAAAAATCAGTAAAATCCTCGGGTTTAATATCTTTTAAGAAAAAAGGAACTCTCCAGAATCCAGCTGTGGTGGCTGTTGTTCGAGGGGGTTCGTATGACAGCACCACTATTGGAATCAACACTGCAGGTCTGGTAACCCCAGAACAAATCAATAATTTTATTTTGAACTTGAACTTGCTTGATCAGATTGGGAATTTTGAGTTGAACCACATATTTGCTCATAGCCAAAGGTTAAACAGTGAAGCAATAGTGGCTTTTGTGAAAGCCCTTTGCAAAGTTTCCATGTCAGAATTGCAGTCTCCGACGGATCCTCGTGTATTCAGCCTCACAAAAATAGTTGAAGTTGCGTAAGACTCTATTCCTGATCTCATTCTTTCTTATCCGTTATTAATTTGTTGAAAATTTCAAACTTCTCATAAATGAACAACAAAAATAATATCGTTTTCGCAAGACCTTCATTTCTTGCAATATATTATTTTGTTAATATAGTGTTGTGTTTTAATATACAACTATCACCTGTATATGTCTATATCAGATAATCAGTTTCCAGTATAACTTAATATAGAGGAATCCTTAATCTCTTTACCTCTCTGCCTTTTGTTTTCCCTCTTTGCTTGACCCCTTCTGAAGGAAACAATAGAATGATAAATCACCATGTGATAATATTAAAAAATTCTCGATGATGAGTTATGTAACTCACTTGTTTGTAGCAGACGTTTCCAGGAAGAATTGAGGTTAAATATAGATCAGGCCATAGTTTCACTTTTTTTGATAAGTCGCACCATCATGTCTTTTTTGCAGGCACTATAATATGAACCGTATCAGATTAGTGTGGTCTCGCATATGGAGTGTGCTTTCTGATTTCTTTGTATCAGTTGGGTTGTCAGAAAATCTTTCTGTTGCTATCTTTGTCATGGACTCTCTGCGGCAGCTTGCCATGAAATTTTTAGAACGTGAGGAGCTGGCAAATTACAATTTTCAGAATGAATTTTTGAGACCATTTGTGGTTGTCATGCAGAAGAGCTGCTCTGCTGAGATCAGAGAATTAATAGTTCGGTGTATTTCACAGATGGTCCTTAGCCGTGTCAATAATGTGAAATCAGGCTGGAAAAGTGTTTTTATGGTTAGTAAAATTTTTCCCATTTTTGCAATTGTTCGCTTGCATATTTACACACTCCTCTCTTCCCATATTTCTGTATGAATTTCTTGTATCATACTTTTACTTCAAAAAAGTACAAATAATTTGCTCACTCTTTAGTTTATACTTTGTTCTCATGCTAAAAGATAGTCTTGTTTCAGTATTTGAGGTTTGTTAGTTACATGTTGGTGAGTTTTTAAGAAGTTTTGCCCATCTGTAATAGTTATGCTCATTTTTACGCATGAAGAAGGGCATCTTCCTACGTTTGAGTGTTGCTGATTACGTGGTGATGAGCACTTGAAAAGTGTTGGCCATGTAGAGATTTAGAATTTACTTTCTAAGTTACCACTGCGACCATGATCTGTTAAACATGTGTCCGAGGGTGTCTCTAGTATGTTATGCTGAAGCTATGAATCTATCACGGGCTTGAACACTGCACCAAAAGCTGAGGCGTTGGTTTATTATGGCTAGTTCATTGAATGAAGGCCTTCTTCTTGCCCGTGATTGCCTTTTACACATGGATGCTTTGAAAAGTGGTGGAACTGGCTCTTATAAATGTTTTGACCCAGCCATGTATCAGATTTTTCTTTTCTTTTTTGCTTTCACAGATATTTACAGCTGCTGCAGCAGATGAAAGGAAGAACATAGTCTTGTTGGCCTTTGAAACCATGGAAAAAATTGTTCGAGAATATTTTCCTTACATTACCGAAACAGAGACAGTGACTTTTACTGATTGTGTGAGATGCCTCATCACCTTCACACACAGTAGATTTAACAGTGACGTTAGCCTCAATGCCATTGCTTTTCTGCGGTTCTGTGCTGTCAAACTTGCTGATGGGGGACTTGTTTGCTATGAGACAAGTAAGGATGATAACTTATCTGCTCCTGTAGTAGATGGTGATGCTTCTGATGGACAAACTTTTACAGACAAAGAGGATCATGTGTCCTTTTGGATTCCCTTGCTTACAGGTAGTTTGCTTTTGACCTAAATTTCTTGTCAAGAGTCGATATGATTGTCTAATTCGAAGCCAGCTAATCGATTAGTGGGTAATTCAAACAATTTGCTGATGTTCGAACCCCCAAGATGCCATAATTTATGCACGTGGAATCTTCTTACAGGAGCCACTTTGGTCTATGACTTTGAGTTGACTGCTTCTGGCATGAACTTTAGTCTTTAGGATTTAGGGTCAACGTTACCCCTTGCAATGTCATGTTATGTGTAGTGATGCGGTGGATGTAAGCCTTGTTATAAAGCACTTTCAGATTAATATGAACTTTGTTGTTTCAGGGTTATCAAGACTGACATCAGACCCCAGATCTGCTATCAGAAAGGGTGCTTTGGAAGTGCTCTTCAACATTTTGAAGGATCATGGCCATCTTTATTCTTATCCATTTTGGACGAGTGTTTACAACTCTGTAATTTTCCCCATATTCAATTCCGTACGTGACAAAAGAGAAACTCAGATTGATGACCATTTGTCACCAGCATACAGATCTGCACATCCTGATGGAAGTATGTGGGATTCTGAAACTTCTACTGTAGCAGCTCAGTGTCTAGTAGATCTATTTGTCAATTTCTTTAATGTGGTGAGGTCTCAACTACGTGGAGTGATATCCATACTGGTGGGTTTCATCAAAAGTTCTGGTCAGGGTCCTGGAAGGACCGGGGAAGTGGCATTGATGCAATTGGTGGGTGACTTAGGAGGTAGACTTTCGGAAGAGGAATGGGGAGACATCTTCCTTGCATTGAAAGAGGCAGCAGTTTCTACAATGCCTGGAATCTTAAAACTAGTAAGAACTATGGATAGCATTGAGATGCCTGATGTTGCTCAATCCTATAATGATTTGGAGATCTTATCTGGCCAAGGATTGACCAATGGTGACTCTGAGGACGACAACTTGCAAACTGCAGCATATGTTGTTTCAAGGATGAGGAGTCATATAGCTGCACAGCTATTCATCATACAGGTTCGTTCTCTCTCTCTCTCTCTGTGTTGTGTGTGTGCCTGCCAATCTATGTTCCTGCTTGTTATTCTTGGGTTATATGCATCCCACTATAACTGTAAAGAGATCTTGTATCTCACGTGACATCAAATGATTAGAGTCATTCAAGACTAGTTTATATGCTCTAGGGGGCTACTCCGCTCATTGACAATTGGTTTGGAGTTGGATGCCCTAACATATTATCAAAAATGAGCCTTGGGCATTGTTGTTAGTATCGTATGATACGCGATACGTATTGTACGATACGGAGGTCGTCTGATACGAATCGTAGTTTTGTATCGTTTTTGCGTTGTATCGTCCGATACATGATACGTTTTTACGATACGTGCAAGGTTGTTTAATTTTTTTTTTTTTGAATGACGTTTTTTGTTGAAGGAGATTGATTTTTTAATCCCTATAGCCACTGAAACGACGTCGTTTCAGTGGCTAGGGTTTACAAAAAAAATAAAATCTCTCTTTTCTCTCCATCTTCATTGTATTCGCTCTCTTCTGGATGGGTGTTCTTCATGACGAAACACAGCTGAGTTTCAGGGTGTTCTTCAATCTTCACGACGACAAAATACAGCATTTTTTGGGTGTTCTTCGTGGTCTTCGCTGTCTTCTGGGTGCTCTCTCTTTTCTCTGTTCTTCAAACGATGAACCCTAGCCCCTCTCTCTTTTCTTTCTGTTCTTGACGACGACGAAGCATCCAAGCCATCGATCGAAGCAGCCAAGCCAGTCACTACCTCTGGATCGCAGCTGCCTTCTTCTTCCTTCTCCAGCAACTCCACTGAAATATTTTTTTATAAGAAATGTTGTTAATTTATTATCTGACTTGAATAATTGGTGGAGCATTAATGAAATGTTATGTTTTTATGAGTCTAAGATTTTTTTTCAAGGGTATATATATTTTATTATTATTTATTTAAAGTTGCGCCGTATCTTACGATACATGATACGATACGATACAATACAATACATTATTTTTAAAAAATGATACGCCTTCCAATACACGATTTGATAACTATGACCTTGGGTAGTTAGTGAGCCAAGTGTTTTTCCCATTTGAATTTTCCTACATTCATGGTTGGTTGTTTGTTTTTTAGCCCCACGTGCAACCCATGGTCCCACGTGAACGAAGGTGTTAAGAGGGCTTATATCCCATATCAAATAATTAGGACAACCAAATTTGGTCTATAATATATACTTAAGGGGCTACTCCACTTATTTTCAATTTTGTTTGGGTTGGATTCTCTAAAAGTAACCATCGTAAATAGTATGAAATAACACATTATACGAGGTGTTACTTTTTTTTTTTTCGCCCATTTGAAACAGACTATGCTTTAGGAGGTCTTCCCTGCTCCTTTGACTGGACATCTCTTCCTCACTTGCATAGACTGTTATTAAAATTCTGCTAGTTCTGGTTTTAGTTTGTCTTTTTGGGAGAACGTTCTATTTGATTCCGTTTTATTCTGCAACTTCTTAAGAAATATTATCATCCATCTCAAAAAATAAAAAATCGTACCTAGGCGCAAACTCTGGTTTGTAGGGAAGGAATTGAATATTGAGAAGCTACACTAATTGACACAGCCCTTGTTACAATGGAAAATGCCGATGTTGGATCTTACACTAATTGTCTTTTTACCTTTTCTACACATGAAGTAGCTTCAACCTGTCTTTAGTTAGTAATCCTGCCACCAGAAATCATCAGCACTTACTTGTCATCATCAAGACAAGTAATGAAAAAGGGCACATAAAAATAAAGGTCAAAATATGGTTGCTATTACTGATTTGCAAAAATCATTTGAACTGTTTAGTTTCTAAAGCTTGGAAGTAGGGATGGCAGTGGACCGGAAAAAAATGGGTATTCGTCCAAATCCGTCCCGTTTGGACCGGGGATGGACTATACATATTGAACAGTGGACGTATACGAGGATACCCGTATAAACCCGTGCAAAGATGAAGGCGGGGATAGACTTACCCTTACCCCCGCCCCATCCCCGCCCCGTCCCATCCCCGTTATACCCGTTAAAAAATATATATATATATATATAAAAATAAATAAATAAACTCCTGCCCCTCTCTAACGCATATGCATGTGTGTTTTAAATGGTGTTCCAGAGTATTATATTTCCCAGATTATTTTTTCTTTTTCAATTTTGCTCTTGCTGACTACCTATCGATATCAGTGGGCTACATTACCTACTAATGCTAATTTGTTGATGGATTGAATGCCATTTATTTCTATCATTTTTTCTGCCATACTAACCAAAAGATATACCATACTTATTGACGCCGAAATACACAGTTAGTTCTGTCCAATTGCATGATGAACATTTAAAAGTATCAATGACTAACTCCTAGAAATATTCACATAACTTGCTTGTTTAGATTTTAAATTTAAGAGTTTCAGATTCCAATATGTCTTGTGATCTTATGTTGGTTTTTGGGTTACGGTATAATATTGTTTTTTTTTTTTTTAATTTTGCATAACAAGTTAACATTGTAGCTTCTGGTTGTAGGGGCTAATAGCTCAACTCTCAAATTTCTTTTTGCAATATAATATAGGTTCACTGATGATGGGTTTCATGGTTGGTTGATCAAGAAGTTATTTGATTTTATGGGGCCTCTTAACTTACTTAGTGATTTATTATAGGACGGTTATATCAAATTCAAGTAGTATTTTGGACATTTGTTGTTTGTGTTATATTGGAATATGTTATGCTACATTATGTTGTGTTAGATTATTTAGAATATTGTTGAATTATTTAAAATGTTGGATTTATTTAGAATTTTGGGCTCGGGCTTGGACTTGGGCTGGTACGGGGGAAGCGGGGACTGTGGCGGGGATTAAAAATTTACCCGCGGACGGGGATGAGGATGAATATTATCTCGTTAACGGGGGTGGACTGGGGATAGATGGAGGTTTTTTAAGCGGGTACGGGGATGAAAACTATACTCCCCACCCTCGATTCGGTCCACTGACATCCCTACTTGGAAGCAATATAATTACCAAAGTTGGGGAGGAGGTGTAGCAACTTTTTTTTGCATGTTAGATGTCCTTCAGAAAACTTCTTTGATGATTCCCACACCTCTTTGACATAAATGATTGACGCTCCTAGCTTTCACGACTCATATGTGCTCATTTAATGACCAAGAAAAACCAGTATTGAAAATGAAAAAAATTTAAATTCTTAGTTAATAACTTAAATAAGTCTCTCTCTCTCTTTGTGTGTGTGCCTGTCTTTCTCTCTCTACAGTTTTTGTCCTGTACCCCATCTTTACCATTCTTGTCTCATTGTTGCCCTGCATCACCTAGCATGAACTCCAGTTGTTTGCCACAGTCTTCGATCACCTTCCTCCACTTATACCTTCGTCGTGCAATCCATTGTTTTTGCTTGTGGCAAAAGGGAGAATCATTTTAAGCATATTTTTCCATTGCTTCTGTGCTAAGGTCTTTGAATCGTGCATACTTTGGATTGAGGATACACCTCATTTATTGATATTATAAATAGTTGTTTGTTGAAACTGGAGTCATCTGATAAAGAAGGTGAAACTTGAATTGTTAGGTGTATTCTTTGTAAAGCTTTCTTTTGAATCTTTGTTGAATCAATATTCTTGCCCTACTTTGGCCCTTGTTTTGATGATATGGAAAGCTAAAGTGCCTATTAAAGTGCAAGTTTTCCCATGGACTATAGCACATGGTAAGTTTAACACTTATGATGTGCTTAAAAAAAGAAGGCCTCAATAGTTATTTTTCACCTCAACGTGTAAAGGTTATTGTGAAAGCATAGATAATTTATTTTTGCATTGCCTAGTTGCTTTGGCTATGTGGTATAAGTTGTTTCGAGTGGCGGATTTGAGTTGGGTGATTCCTACATCATCCATATCTTTTCTTTATTGAAGACATGAAAAACTTTGGATGGTCTGATAAAGGTGTGATTTTTGGGAATTATGATATTATTGCTATTTTTTGGGTTATTTGGAAGGAAAGAAATGCAAGAATCTTTGAAGATTGATATGAATCTTTGGAAGGCTTATGCGATCATATTCATGTCTTAACCTCATTTTGGACTTCAGTTTTTAGTGACTTTGGAGGAATTCTTTTTTTTTTTTTTGCAATCATATCGGGACGGAGAGAGATTTGTGATTTATAGGCTTGTTAGGTAACTTTATTTCTTCTGTTCTTTTCTTCTTCTTATCGGTTGGATTTCTTATCCAACATTTTTGATGTAAATTTTTTTAATCATTAATATAAGCATTTGGTTTCTTATCAAAAAAATTTTGAAGAATATTTTTATGCTACTAATTTTGGATAGTCAATTTCTACTGGTTGGTTATATCTACAACATTTCAACAAGTAAAGTTTTGGTAATATGTACGAATCCAGCTCAAACGAAGTAACTTCATTTCTCTACTACTGCATACCCCATTTGAAACTACCACCACCACCTGGCTTTGTCAGGTCACAAGAAAGCCATAAAATTCCAACTACTTTTACACACTCCCCATCCTTTTTTTTTTTTGGGACAAGAAACAAAACTTTAATTTAGTAATGATGCATCAAAGAGTAATATGGATGGACAAGATATTCATCAATGCTTTACTCATAAAATATTATGTATCACATGAGGGCGTCTAATATGCCAAGATATAAAAATGCTGAATGACAGCAAACTCCTTCCAAACGGAAGCCTACAATGACACCAAAAAATAGATGTGATCCCATAACCTACCTTCCTCTCTTCTTTATCTTCAAATATCCTTGAATTCATTTCTAACCATATTATGTATATTCTCATCTAGTGCCCACTACCATCACAGATCAAAAAAAGAATCACGAATACAATACAGTCAAACAAAACATGTGTGTGTGTAAATAGACACAATATCTGTTCTTTTGTAGAAACTAGAATTTGATTCCTATGTGTTGAAGTATAGATATTTAAGTTACATTCTCTTCTACAGTTTAGTTACTAGAATTTACTAAATCACTGATGACCTACGACCTAGGTATATCGATCCCAAACGGAGTGGGTTCGCGATCCAAATCACCAATATGTACGATCCTGATATTTTATGATATATAATGTTGTATAGTGGTA